GACTCCATTCTGACTCACAGCGCCCCTAGAGGACAGAGTGGAATTGCACCACAGGGTCTCCAAGGCTGTCAATCTTTATGGAAGCAGACTGCCTCATCTTTCTCCACAGATGAACTGCTGGGTTCAAACTGCCAACTTTGTGGTCAGCGTTTGAATGCCTTAACCACTGAGCCACCAAAGCTCTTACCAACCTGAAGCAAGCTCTTGTAACACTAATGTATGCTGAAGCAAAATCCACGGTGAGATTAATAAAGCCATGTCAGCTCTTGACCAAGAGCACAAGGGGATCAAGGCACCTTGGGCATGCACTGATAGGTACTCCGAGTGGCCATGTTGCTAACTTGCTCCTGGGAAGGCTGGAGAAGCCATTTCAGGTGGGAGTTCTGGGAGCCCCTGAGTGGAGCAGACAATGAATGGTTCAACCACTAACTGAATGGTTGCAGGTTTGAGTCTACCCTAAGGCACCTCAGAAGGCTGGCTTGGTGATCTGTTTGCATAAAATCAGCCATTGAGGCTGTTTATCATTTATGCACAGGGAGACAGCTCAGGGGTAAGGAGTGCATGGAGGGATGGCTGCAGGGAGGAGGTAGCTAGCGGTAGGAAGTGGGAGGGGAGCAGTTGCATTGGGGTAACTTGGAGTCAATGTCATGAGACAAAGTGTATGTGAACTGCTGTATGGAAAGTGAATTTGCTCTGTAAACTTTCACCCAAATTACAAAAACAAATAATAAATAAAAAATCAGCCATTGAGAACCTTAAGGAACTCAGTCCTCCTCTGACTCCATGAGGTTGTCATAAATTGCAGTCAACCAGAAGGTAACTGATTTTTTTCCTTGTTTCCTTTTCTAATTCAAGAAGCCCTGGAGGCACTATGGTTTAGCACTGGGCTGGTAACCCTAAAATTGGCAGTTTGAATCCACAGGTGGTTCTGCACAAGAAAGACCTGGCAATCTGCTTTTGTACAGAGGACAAATTAGGAAACCCTGTGGTGCAGTTCCACTCTGTCCTCTAGGGGCGCTGTGGGTCAGAATGGACTCCACGGCAGTGGGTGTGGTTTGGGCTTTGCTTCTGT